GTGCAAAAGGGGAGGAAGTGTTATCGGAAGGTTGGCTACGATAGAACGTCAAGAATGCCAAGTTCCTCAGCTTCACAGCGGGTGCTAAGGTGATTGGGGAAGAGACCGAAGGACGGAGAACCTAGAGTATTTTGGGAGCGATCTGACCAGCAGTGGCGTTTTCATGACACTGACGGAAATTGTACAATGTTCCAAGCCGAAACTAAACTTCAGAAGAGTTTACATTATGTAAGAACGAAAACAGGCGGAACCTGTGCCAGTGCAAGAATTGGAATGGCTAGCGGTCCTATGGATTGCAAGACTAAAAGTGCTGAAAATCCAAAGCCTCTCTACCCCACATTCACTCAGTTGACAATAAGAGTTTCTGGAAATTTGAAGCACTTGATGGCTAATGGTCAAAAGTACTGAAGGTGAAATCATCATTCAACTTCCTCCGGGTTTGTACACGGATGACAAATGCATGGCGCATCCGGATACCCTTCCGTGTCTATGTCTGACCAACAAAAGAGCTAGATAAAAACTCACATAGTCTATGTTTGTAAGCGACTTCAGGAATGTGTGCTGGATGTAACAGCGTGTACCAACTTTGTCCTCGCAACTCTTCACGATGGTATCCAAGATGATGGGCACACCTGGAAAATGTTTTATCTCAGAAAGATAGGGTTTTCCGAGGTTCTGTACATATTATCGGCCATGTAACGGCAGTGGGCATGACGGCTCGAGGGCGGAGTGGTTTTGATGACGTAAACGTTAGTGGTGAATCACAGACCTCACCGGGGTACGGTTGGAAACTATTCATAAAGCCCTATCCCCAGTTTCACTCAATGACGTCATCGAAACCGCCCCATTACTCAGCCAGCGGAATCGCTGCCTTTGAACTCTTTAGGATATGTAGGCGAAACGATTTGGGAAGTGCGCCCTTAGCATAAACTTTCCGGATTATTTCCGCTTCCGTCAATTCGCAGTATTTCATTGAAGTAATTACGGCTTATTCATGTTGGCGTCAAGCAGTGCCACGTCATAACATTTTATGACAATATGGCGTCAATTACAAAAATGAACTTGATCGCCCTCTAAGCATTAAACCGCTTATCCCAGACCGAACTCACATGTGATCGACTTCTTTGAATGTCATGTCGAGAAAATGCTGACTGCTGAACACGTCAGTGTTGCCCATGGACAGCGTTTCGGCATTTTCCGGATTGATCACCGGCTGGCAATAAGCGGCGAATATCGGTTGAGTCTGTAATGATAACTCAGAAACCATAAGCCAAAAAGAACTGTGGAGAAATGAGGCTAAACGCTATTGGGAATGCGCCGATTAATCGGCTCCTTTTCGGAGTACAGAGATACAAACGCTCATTAGTCCTGAACTACAGTGCGGATTTGCAGGTGAATCATCTCGTTTTTTCCTATTAATCTTCGACGTGATGAAGAAGGGACGATGCTTGAGAATAGAATGTTAATATGGCTCCTTTGAAAGAAAAAAAACGATATGAATTATTTTCAAATTTCTTTGACAACAGTCAACAGCGATGGGAAGGATCGGGGTTATTTAATCTAGCGAAGTTCGCTTCCACGAAGTGCACACATGTCGATAACCGATTGTTCCTTCTCTGCCAAGAGGTCTACCATAAGGACTTACTTAACCCAGCTTTACTCTCTTGGAGATGGACCATGAATCCGACCTGTGCTAAGAGTAGCAGACAATGTGGGAGGCGTATCAATTCCAAACATTGTTTTATTGGCTTCATTTGAGACTTCGAAGAATTTGCAAATGCACGATTTGAGTGTGAGGAGGTGAGGGGAGTGTTTCTACTGCTGCTTCCAGATGTATCAGGAACCGAGTCGTAGTCGTTTATTGAAGTGGATAGCACAGTAGAGATAAATAAATTGAGACATACTAGCGTCGAAAGCTTATATAGCAGTGATGTTTTGGAATGAGAGTGAAAACAGCGGATATCAACAATCTGCCTGTTGGGAGTAAACAAGGGTAGATCATTTTTCTGTACGTTACAGAAAGGGAGTTCAGCCGAAGAGTTCCAGCTCATAAAGTCACGGTGCAGCAACCATGGTGTGAACTTTGAAACTGCTTGAAGATACATGTAAGTTTAAAAGACATACCGCTTCCGGAGTGTTAGCGATAGCTTGGAAGTATTCCGCTGGATGAATATATCGTCCTTGAAGGAGAATGAACTGAAAACATTAATTTTGTAGGAGCATGCGAACAAATTCTTCACTTTTAGCAAACATATGGGCATTTCAACCGAAAGGGACTTAATCAGAATCGCTAGGACACACTCTCACTTTGTGATACTGTAGCTGACGTTTTGCAGTTCTGGCCAGATTCAGACGACAGAGGAAGACTCGTTCTTCAGGAAACGAGGTGGTCGGTTGAGGTCCACTATTCAACTCATTGTGAATGGTAGGATGGTCACGAGAATCAACCAAATCGAAGATGGAATCGCCTTGGCACATGATTTCCTCCTGAAAAGAAAGCTTTAAACTGCATCGATGGACCTAAGTTATTCAATAATTGTGTTTCAGTCTTCTAAAATGTCAGCTCGTGGACAAGCGAGTACTGTGCTGTTTTCAGCTTTGACAGCCAAAGGCGGCAACAAAGTGGCAAGGCAGTGAAATTTTCCAAAGGTATCAAATATCGGGCTAGAAGATGGTGGTAGTTGCATCATTCTAGGTGTTCTTCACGCCCTTCTCCTTTTGGGGACAACTCATACCCACATCCCGCACCCACATGAATATGGGTACAGTGTCTCAATCAGCTCTTGAATAATTGAAAATTTGCTACAAAAACTTACTATTGAATGTCCAAGGTATTCGCTGGCATTGTCGGACACGTGTAGTAACTTGCCACTTCTGTTCAGCATGATAAGAAATCCCCTCAGCGCCTTGCATGAGTCCAGTCCCTTCGGCAACGGCACGCTATTCTCTGCTATCGTTCTCAGGACTGAAATTGATAAATAACATGCTTTTTGGAGGAACATGTAGCAAATTCAGCCCTGGGAAATCGTCTACTGAGGGAAGGAGTCGAAGGAAATCACGAAAAAAAAACGGTGTAAAGAACGGTGCGAAAAAAGGACTAGAGGCAGCGACTCCCTCACAACGTTCTGCAAGTATTTTATTGTTTTTGAGCCAGCTTCTTAGGATTTTGCGCTTTAATGCCTGACGCAGGTTAGAGGGAGGATGGGTGCAGTTTAGCACTGCTTTCAATTCTTGTGAGCCGAATAAACAAAGGGTTATCACTGTGTAGAGAACTTACTGTGCTTTTGATAACGATGCTTTCGGATGAAGATACAACCCAGTGACATGACTTGGAGCTGAAACAGCCGGTCTTTAATCGACTCCGACAACGGCAAAAGATCTCGAAGCCGTTGGATTTCGACATTGATCTGGTCTTCGACGCCTGCTGGAAGCGTCCACGGCGTCCATCTAGAAATGAGTTAGCCCTGTTTTGCTTTCGGTGGGGCTAGATTTGAGCATTCTCGTTTCTCGTTGAAAGTAAGATTGAAAAAAAAACACAGAATTAAGACGAATAAGAAAAACTAAGAATTTCAAGATTTTGCCATTCGTTGCGGTTGCGCCATGAACGTTGAATAGTTCGCATAATCAGGACTTCGTGGAACTGTATAGTGAAAAACTTTGGACATTCTAGGGGTCCATCGAAACCAATGCCGAGCTATTCAAAAAAAGAAACTGAGTCTCCGCACTCGTTTCCAGATTTGGCGCTTTCTGCGAAATTCACACGGTAACTTGGCTCATAGCAGAGCCTTGGATGAGTTGCCCACTGCTTTTAATGCACTCTGTCAAGCTTTTTACTGAACTACGCGGCAATTTAGCAAATTATCTTACTATCAGTTTTTTGCAATTCCACTGCGAAGGGTATAATGTGCTAGTCTGTCTACTCGAGTATTGTTGACCTTCGGTGACGTCTACTATTGACTATGCTAATTTCTGTTCAGTCCATCTTTCCTAATGTTTGCTCACTTATGACTCTCACACCGCCGGCACAGATTTCGTAGGGAGACAGCAGGAAGAGCGTCGCGGCTGTTAAAATGTTTCTATACTAAGACTCACAATTGGACTACTACTTGCACTAATACAACATTCTTTCATTTGGTCTCTCGCTTGAATACCGCGCATTCCAAGAAAAATTACCAGATCTATGTTCTTTCAATGGCTGCTGAATAGTTAATTGTTCACGATAATCAGTCCCTTTGAGGATGCGCCAGACGTTCTACCTTCATTCGGGTTTCTGTCAGCACTGGCAAGCGATGGAATGTACAATTACTTGCGGAGGTCACTTCAGTTCGGGGGTCTAAAACCTTCAGACGAGCGCGCTGCCAATGAATGGAGCCTCAAGATATTCAGTGTCTTTTTTCTAAACAAATATTACATTGACTATCAATATTATTTCATTTTATCTTTATTGGATTAACCCTGACGAGAGTTGAGCCAAGGCTTGGCCCCATTCCGGCTGCCTCCCAAATCAGTCCCGCAGAATGCTCCTGTACTTGCCATAATACTCCTGTTCTTTCATGATCAGAAAGAATCCTTTTTCAGTTTGCATTTTGAGGCTAAAAGTAAATGGACTCGTGAAGTTCCCCAAATTTCCTGGAATGTCCCGTATTGACAAAATTTCACCCACACCCCACGAACGCCATAGGTATGGCACCTTTTATTTTATTATGTCTCCTCACGAAGCGCACCTTGGCCGAGCCCGAAACAATCTCAAAAGATCTCGCCATCCTTCGAGCTCCCCATAAGTGAAAGTCCAGCAAAGGAGATGATGACCGGCGGTGACGGTGTGCGGTCCGCAGACGTGTGACGTCACACGCGGTCGTGCGCGATTACTACGCTGCCTCGTCCCCGTCGTGTATTTGCTGTTATAGAGTGGAAGTTTTGTTTGAACTTCGAGAAAGCGGCCGCCGCCGGCCACGAAAGTGACCAAACAGAACGACGAACGCGGATATTCAGCGAATGAGGTCGACCGGTGCTGATTGTGAAACTGAACACCATGCGGACATGTACTTCAAGGCCGGAATTCCGGGCGAAAAGGCGCCTTAACGACGTGAAGATGCCTTATGGAGACTAAGGAATAGCCCAGTAACGGACCGCGTAGATCTATTCGTTTTTGGGGCAAGGAAAAGCCAAAGAAGCGCTGAAACTTAAACAATGTAATGGAAAGAGCCCGAGTTGAACGATCGCATGATCTAGAATGACCTTGCTGAGAAGTCTATTACAGTAAATGCTGCCAGCTTACGCACGACGCCCAAGAAGCCAAGCTTGTATTATATGGTATGATGCCGGTATAGGTCCTTGGACGATTGCGGGTTGACTCAAATGGCTCAAGTGGCGAGGATTTGGTTAACAACTTAAAATGATTTCTATGCTTAACAGGAGGCAACTTTGATAGAAGACCCCTCTATATCCCTTTATTTAATGTCATATCCGGAGTTAAGGTCGTGACGCGGTGATTATACGATGGCTAAGGCAAAACGAGTGGTGCAAGATGTGAGCTTCTTAGGAACTCCCCCAAAAGGTCCTCGTAAGGGCGAGAGTGAGGTCAGGAAGAGAGGAGGTTGTGGAGTGGTAGGTCACGGCCAAATACGCCATGCACTCACCTGAGTTCAAAAAGGATAGCAATGCAAATTGTCCATAAATTCTCGACACGGGCCCGACCAGTGGGCAGACCTGCGCTTTCGGAATAATTTTGCTCTGGTCAAAACAGAAAAAAGTGGCTGGGTTTTGCTCACGTGGAGTGAATAATCTGTCGGAGAAGATTTATGACTGCGCTCAAACGATTGGTCAATGCTACAGGGAAGCGATAAGAAAAAGCTTTCTAACTCACTCTCCAACCACTCATTTGCAAAGTTCGAGCTCATGAGTTCCTTTTCTGTCCGCGAATCATAACAGCGTATGTCGATAATTGTTAGTTGGCAAGGGTGCTTAAAATACGAGCTACATTCTGCAAGACAACCGACTACCAGGAGTCGATTGGAGAACTGAGTAGTGGCTTCAAGCTGGTGGAGGTTAGGCGGTTAGGCCTTCTGAGTGCTGCGAGATAGGGCTATTTCTGTTCATGGAATGATATTTCAAGAATATTCTGCTGCAAGAACAATATCAATGGCTGTAATGCGCGACGAAAAGTTGGCCCGTCCCTTCCCCACTCCTGGACACAGTGAAAGGTATAAGGAGCGCAAAGTGTCGAAGGAGAACACAACGAAGCCTCGCATAGGATACTTGATTGTTTCTGATGATTCTTCTCTCCCTATCCTCTAAGTCGTCATTCTACGGATCCGTTTTCAGGATATGTTGAGAAAATGCCCACGATCTAGCGCTAGCAGTTTTGCAGCATTCGGTTGAGGGCAACGATGGTAATTCAATGAATTTCTTACAGTAATTGTTTAGTTCTACTCAGTGCTAAGGATCATCAAGATTCGACCTCCGAGAGCCACTGGTCTCTCGATAAACTCAAACGCCTCCGCTTTTACTGGCTCCCAGCGATCAAGGAAAGAAGCGCCAAAGGCGGTAGTTCGGAGCAGATCGAGGGAACGCCATAACAACGACTTTTACGTTGCTTTGGTTGACTGTGGGCAACCCGGACCATAGAGTGCAATTTGAATAGTGAAATGAGAATTTTGCTGAAGATCAGTCTGGAAATTTCCGAGTGTTGCGCTTTCTCTGAAAGAATGGTTCTATGTTAAGCACAATTTTCTCGTCATCCGATACCAAGCACGGCTTTATTGCTGCCTTCCAGAGGTTTATCTTGTGTAACTCTCGTGCTGCGATATTAGTCATCCGAGGTGATCTGTGAGCACATAAATAGAAGTAGCAGCCATCGGTTACTCATAAAGAACAGTTTTTGCAAAACCCTGCAGCTCCCTTACCTTCCATATGATTACTTATTTATAGCCACCAAATAACATTATATTTACGATTACTTACAACTCACCACACCTTGATTACGTTTTCGTGATTCAACATCAGCCAGAAAATGGGTACGGTGTGGTCGAAATGGTGTGGTCCCAAGTGGGGGCGCAAATTTGTTAGCTGCTTCGCTAACAAATTTATTTCTATTATTACTATCTTGGGATCATACCTCGCCAAGCCCACAAAGTTTCCAATGCTAGGGCCGTTGAAATCCCGTGCTGGAGGGATCAAAACTATGATAACATTGCTCCCAATTGCTAAAAACATTTGCAGGTCAAACACCCGTTCAAACACTTCCTTCCCATTTTTTTCCAATTACGGGGGAAAAACCAAAAATGGAAACCCTCACTTCAGTGTGATCTGCATTGAGCTAGACCAGTTTCACTCTACGTTCGGCTATCTGTGTCAAAGAACCTAACGTGAAATTAGGGTGCAGAGCGAGCGGATGTTCGCCTGCTACAGGCGTGCTTTCATGTGCGGAGATTAAGATTATGTTAAAAGCATCCCAAGATGTTCGTATTTGGAAGATGCATACGGACTGATAAACCATAATCATAACAAGTATTAGAAGATGCATCTCCACAGCTAACAGGAAAGAAATGGTTGCTCAATTGAAGTTCTTTCTCCCTCACAAGATTGTCCATAACTGCCGTTTACTCACTGTGCGCAGCCTTGGGTCGCATCGATCGTGCGACGTGTCGACGTCTAGCCAACACTTGAGTTTGTGAGGGCCGTTCAACTGGTAGCTGTATATTCACTTGGTAGAGTTGTATTATCGGTCCTCCCCCGCCCCTTGTCTCGAAAGCAATAGGTATGGATCAATTTTGAGTGTTTTATCATTCGACCTTTCATTTCAAGGAAATTTATGCAACAAAAACGCTCGTGCTTTCTGCTAATGTTGAAATTGATGAAAAAGATTGCCCTTTCTGTGTAGGCTTTCGGGTTCGAAGCTTCTATTCTACCCTCTGGAGAAATGTGAAGATCTGGTAGTCCATGGCGAAATATAACAATCACACACGGATGAGTCGAACTTCCCCCGACATTGCGCAGCAGTTTCGAAACTCGTAACGAAATTAGTTGAGAGCTTTTTCCCTGTCCTTCACTCGGTTGCCACCGTCATCAGGACAGTTAAGTACACGGAATTGAGTTGGCACTTCATTCGAAAACCCTTCTGACTTACAGTTAGTGGGGCACCCCTTATACTAAGCTTTACACGCTTCCTAATGAGTGCAAACGCTACTGCTCAAACTTCTTTCAACGAATGTTTGGAGTTCACTGGCGTGAGTGATCCAAGCCTTGCATTGATGCGGTGCGAAGCAAGCATACGATCCTTAAAGTTGGAGCAAGATAGAATTGCAGCCAGCGCCCAATGCTATCA